TGAGGGCTGGATTAAAGGCGTGCACCACCACTGCCCGGCATGACTATATTTTTGTGTGTTATGTGGGTGTTCCTGTTTTGTTTTGCAATAGGGCTTGCTGTGTAGTCCAGGCTCACCCGGAACTCACTACGTACAGCAGGCTGGCCTGGAACTTGCTGTGCAGACAGGCTGGTCTTGGACCTGTGCCATTCTCCCTGCTTCTGCCCCTAAGTGCTGAATTTATACTTGTGTGCCCCTGTGCCCAGGTATTCAGTTTGGGTTTTTTAGTAACATTTTATTGAGATGTAAGTAGCATACTGTGAATTTGCCCTCCCCCTTTTCATTTGCAGTGCTGGGAATTGAACCCACACCAGCCAAATGCTCTGCTATTAAGCTACATCCCTAGCCCAAGTTTGCCCTTTTAGACTGCACAGTTAGTGGGTTGCACAATTGTGTATCCATCCCTGCTCCCTAATTCCAGGACTTTTTTGTTACACCCTTTAAAAAAAGCCAACCTCACATTTATTAGCGGTCACTCCCCATTCCTTCCTCTCTCAGCTCTGGGACACCGTTAAGATATTTTCCATCTTTGCCAATTTGCCTGGCCTGGATAGTTTGTGGAAATGGAACCCGATGCTACATGCCTGAGCCTGATGTTGTGTCTTCTTGGACACACACACACACACACACACACACACACACAAGCCTAAATCCCTAGACAGGGATCCCACGACAAACCAAAGTCCAGCTTTGCAAACCAACAGGTTTTATTGGGGTTACTTCCAGGAGTATGGGTGAGGGGTCACTTCCAGGAGCAGAAATGACTCAAAGACAGCTGCGTCACCAAGGCCCACCCCAGCACGGGTGACAGCTCACAGAGCTGGGAAACCTGGAGCATGCCACACAGCCTGCAGGCCGCTCAGCAGGTTGGGGATTGTCCTTCCCAGTGACTCTGGGCGGAAGTTCTTCCAGGCAGCCGATCTGGTCTCAGGGTTTTTGCAGCTTTTCTCCTCTGAGAGTTTTCTTTGGAGTTCAGCTTCACTTTGTGTGAGAGGGACTCTCGGCTTTTATTGCTGACTCTGGCAGAGAGGGGCCTAGTGAATCTGGTGGGCTTCAGGGGCTTCCTGAACCTCTTTAGTGTTGTTTACCTTCCTGCTTAAGGAGCTTCCTGCAGGATGGAAATCTTAATCTCGGAGGGAACTGTTGTTACACAGCAGTGCCCGCCATGTCTGGATGGCCTGGCTCCCTTCACATGGTGTCTTCAAGGCGCCGGCGTGGCCCTGAGCATCAGGACCCCATTCGTTTTTCCTGTGTGAACACACCAGTGGCTCGTTCCTCCGTTCCTCACTTGGAGGCCTGTTGGGTTGGAGGCTTGGTTTGTAGGTTACTTCCATCCCTTCCCAGTGGTTGGGCTGTTATTTCTCAGCCCACTGTCACGACCCCTCAGTCATTGCTGGTGGCTTTTTACATCATCTCATGGGTGCATATGTGATAGCTGGGAACGCTTCGAGATCTGGGTCTCTTCACTCCCTTCCTGGGACCAGGGGGACTTGGTGGAGCTGTGGTCACCTAGCTCATGGATTTCTAGGGAGGCGAAGGAGTTCCTTTGTGTGGGTTCTCCAGAATCACAGCAGAGGCCACAGCCAAGGCACCACTCAGCCTGTGGGAGTCTGACCCACAGCACCACCTCATCACTCCACGGAAGTCTCCCTCTGCGCTCTCCCTTCCAGGCCCCTTGTTTTGGTGAGCTTGTTTTGTGACACACACCTCCCCATGCCTAAGTCCTCTTTTGAAAGATCTGGGGCTCTTTTGGCAGCCTCGTGGCATCCGGACTCTTATCTCCATCTTCCTGCCTCATTGGTGTTCCCGAAATTCTGTATGACCTAAATGAGTTTTAAGATAGACCTAGAGTGGGCTGACAAGATGTAAACACCAGACTCGGGAAGGAGCCCTGCGGCTTCCCAGCAGCCTGCCTAGCATAATTGGTAAGCTCCAGGCAAATGAGCAACCCTGTCTCAGGAAAACAAGATGAAATGATGGAGAGCGTCTGAACAACTGAGGTTGTCCTCTAGTGTCCACGTGCATGCAAACACACACACACTCACACACACACACACACACACACACATCCATTTGTGCATGCATACATGTGTGCACACTAAAGTTGTCCTCTAGACTCTACATGCATGCAAACACACCCACTCATACACACACGTGCACACTGAAGTGTCCTCTAGTCTCTACATGCATGCAAACACACACACACACACACACACACACACGTGTACACACTGAAGTTGTCCTCTAGTCTCCACATGCATGCAAACACATGCATTTGTGCATGCACACACGTGCCCACATGTGCACACACACTAGCAAACACCCACATGGACACACACACACGTGATAGGGCCAACCCGCTTTGCTGGGAAGTGACTTTAACCTTGGATGGCTGAGGCCTACCTCAGGCCAGTTCCTCCAGACTCTGAAGTGACGCCTTCATGGGTGTTTTCCTGAATCCCCAGGTAATTCTTCCCTGCATGCGGGTTGAAAACCACTATTAGCTCCACTCAGGCCCTCGTCAAAGACACATTTTTCTCCCACCAAGCCTTTGGAATGCAATCAAGAGCTAGGTCAAGAATTAGTCTCAGGTTGGCTTTGTATTTGCTACAGAACTCTGGTCAAGTTCCTGCTCCTTTCTCAGTTTCAGTAAAACAGGGCTTAATGAACTGGAGAGATGACTCAGTGGTTAAGAGCCCTGGCTGCTCTTCCAGAGGTCCCAGGTTCAATTCCCAGCTCACAGCCGTCTGTAACTCCAGATCCAGGAGATCCAGCACCCTCTTCTGGCTTCTACAGGCACTGCACACATGTGATGCACAAACATACATATAGGCAAAACACTCATGTACATAAAATAAAAATATACGAACAAACAAGTCTTGTTTTATGTCAGTGGCCTGCCTACAGTGATGGGGAACGAGAGGTGACGGTTGGCATATCTAAAACCCCTGGGGGGCATTTCCAGAAATCCAAGTGGGCAGCCCAACTCAGAAAGTTGAAAACAACCCAAGTGTGGTTTCAAAAGCTGGTGGCATGAATCATCCCTCTCTCGGGAGGAAGTGTTCAATGGAATCATGCGTCTAATTGAATGACTTCTTTAAACAACAAGAAACTTCAGCGCTGATGATTGTAGCATTTCCTCAAATTCCCCACCGTGGGGCTTGTGCCCTTTTGCGCCCCTGCCAGCAATAAATGAGCCTTCTTGTTTAGCTAGAGCTTCACCAATAGGTCGTATTGTTAGGAGCCTTGGCGTGTTGCCAATCTGATCATTGAGAAGTGGCACCTCAGTGTAGCTTTCTTTGAGTGTCTCCATCCTGAGTGGGGCCAAGCATCTCTCCAGGGTTAAGATGGATTTGCCTTTCTTCTGTAAACTTCCCCCCACCCTGAACTGGGGCTGGAACCTGGAGCCCCATGCACACTGAGCAAGCTCTCTCCCACTGAACAGCATCCCCCAGTCTTTCTTCTGTCGTTTCTTTTAATGAGACGAGGTCTTAATCTGTGGCACAGACAGGCCTTGAATTTATGATTCTCCTGCCTCAGTCTCCTGAGTAACTGGGAGTAACTGGATTTATAGGCCTGCCCCCCTGGGCCTGACTTCCTGTGCTCTTTCTTATATTCCTAACCCATTTTCCTATTGCAGATATTTTCACCAGTTCATTGTTTATTTCTTAACTGTGTGTGTGTGTGTGTGTGTGTGTGTGTGTGTGTGTGTGTGTGTGTGTGTGT